TCAATTCCTTGTCTGTCTGTCTCTGTCTCTCTTTCAATTCCTTGTCTGTCTGCCTGCCTATCTGTCTGTCTCTCCCTCCCTCTTTCTTTTTTAACCAGAGGAAGCATTCTAGACATTCTGCTAAGATAAGAGTTGTCCCATTTTTGAAGTAGTTTACTGATATCTGTGGAGCCTTTTGGAGCCATGCAAACCGAAAGGACTGGCGATTAGTGTGATACCACAGCCCATAAATACTTGTGCATCTGCATAATTGCATGTACATCCGCTGCTCCATGCTGTTTTCATTCTCACACGGCAGATCGGTGGGTGGGAAGGTTCAAATCTTCCAGAGTTCTGAGCAAAGACAGCTGTTTCCCCCAAAGAAGTGACAACACTATTTGCTTGCATAGACAGGTCAGGTAGTCCTCAACTTAAAACCATTTGTTTAGTGACTGTTTGAAGTTGCATGAAAAAAGTTGACGTGACCGTTTTTCACACTTACGACCACTGAAGCATCCTGTGGTCATGTAATCGAAATTCAGTTGCCTGGCAACTGGCATGTTGTCAAGCCCGAAATTGACATATGTGTAGCTATTTTATAGTATATATTCTTTTTCTTACTTTCTCTGTGGCAGTCATGGGGGGAAGGGTTTCGGGCTTGCCACATTCCTAAGGGGGGAAGGAGTGGAGATAGGGAGAGTTGTTTGGGCTAGGTGGTTCTTCTTCCTGTGGGAAAACGAGCTGACCATGTTCAGGCCCCTGGAGGTGGAGATTTATGACATCAAGCAAGGTTGAATTACTTCTATTGGAGAATGTGACTTTTAGAGGTTGTTTCTAACTTCTGATATTGTGGGGTAATTCCAGGTTGTGTCAGATCCGGAATTACCACGGACTTTGCCAATTTGATGCTTTCCTAAATAAAAGAAATTGTTTTGGAAGGTGGACTTTGTTCTTTTCTTTTTAAATGGATCTCATCACTTGGAAACCGGCACATGTATTTATGGCAGTTCCAGTGTCCTGGGTGGTCACTGTGATCTTCTTTTGTGCCCTTCTGACAAGCAAAGTCAACGGGGAAGCCAGATGGACTTAACAACCGTGTGACTAGTTTAACAACTGCAGTGATTCACTTAACAACGGCGGCAAGAAAGATCATACAATTCACTTAGAAACTGTCTGGTTTAGCAATGGAAATCTGGGGCTCAATTGTAGTCGTAAGTTAAGGATTTACTTGTAGCCCTTGATTTATGACTGGAATGGAGCCCGTCCATCATAGTCATAACTCGTGATGGTTGTAAGATGATCTGAGGGACCTACCTATTTTGTGTTGGTCGTTAAGGAAGTTCTCAGCAAAACTGTAGTAAAACGCGGTCACATATCCACAAGCACACTGTAAAAAGGTCATAAACGTGGCCTAAGTCCAGTCATGTGACCATGATAAAGGAGGAATTGTGAGCATGGAAACTGAAATCCAGGTTACAATTAGCCTCAAGGTAAGTCCATCTTAAATTTGAACAGTTGTTAAGCGACTGGTCGTAAGTTAAGGACCAATTGTATTTGTTTCTCATCTTCCCAGCCACGCAGTTATGATGTTTGAAAGAACATGGTTTTGTCAACTAGATCAGGGGTGTCAAACTCAAGGCCCAGGGGCTGAATCTAGCCTGCAGGGTGCTTAGATCTGGCTTGCGGGGCTGCCCCGGAAACAATGAATGACCAGACCGTGGTGCCTCTGCCAGTGAAAACGGAGCTCGGGAGGGCTGTTTTCGCTGGCGGAGGGTTGCCGGAGGCCGCCACAGCCAAAAATGGAGCCCAGGAGACCATTTTGGCTGGCAGAGAGCTCGGACCACAACAGGCACCCCTGACACGAGTGATGTCAAGCTGGCCACACCCACCATGCCACGCCCATCCAGACCCCCCCAGGTCAAACACAACCCTGAGGCGACCTTCAATGAAATTGAATTTGACACCCCTAAACTAGATAATCAGTGAGGTAGTAGGAAAAACTGAAATATTTCAGAACATGTAGACACTGACTCAGTGGTGGCATTCTACCGGTTCGGCCCAGTTGTGCCGAAGATCAGCTGGCAGAGAACCTTTTCGCTTTGAGTCTCTGCAGTTGGGCCCACCTCCCTCTGCTCCTAGGTCCTTTTTAACCTCTCAGCGGTTTGGCGCAGTAGAGCGGATTGCTGTGCTAAACAGCTGAGAGGCACAGTAGCTTAATTTTTATTGTTTTAATGTGTGCGCAAAGCGATCGCACGAGTCGCGCGATTCCCATCCCTTCAGCCACGCCCAAGAAGCCACGCCCGCAGAAGCGGTGGTGGGAACTTTTGATTCCAAACCCTGCACTGACTGATTGACCAAAGGATACAATTCAGAGAACCCCTTCCATAGACGGAAGGTGCATAATCTGCTTTCTTCCTCTAGAATTCTATCAGATAAAAATTCATACAGTGAAAGAGAATTTAATGCCCTCAAAGTGTTTTGGGTTCAACTCCCACCATCCTCAATCGAAGTTGTGACATCCATTAGTGTTCAACAAGGACTACCAAGTGGTCTAATACAAGTGCCTGGACTAAAACGATCTGGCAGTTTTGAGTATTGGCATTTCTGCATTTTCAGCTGCAATGTGACTCAAGTACATTTTTTAGCAAAAACAATCCATAAACATAATGATTCTGGTCCATTAAAATTGTGCCTAGAGATGATGCAAACCACACATAATGGAGTACTTAAAAAAATAAATATCTAAGCATCTTACATAAGAAATTTAATATCAGCTATTATAGTTTTGAGAAGCGATCTGTCCACAAAAATGCTTTTAAACCCCCGCAGATATCAAATATAAACTGAGGCAGGCCAATCAATTGTGTTACAAGAACGGATTCCAAAATTTATTTCTAAAATCCACACCATGGCTACAGAGCTTCCTGTGATAGCTGGAGGCTTAAGCCAGCCCTGTGAATTACTGTGCCTAAGAACTATCTCATGCCAATAGAATACTTAGTTTCCTAGACTTAAAATATGTAAATATTCAGGGAAAATATTGCAGAAGTAAGATGTTATGGGTATTACTATGTTTCTCCAACAATACGGCCTCCCCCAATAGGAAGTCCCAGCATGTTTTATAGGCATAAAATCAAATTAAGCCCCTCCCCCCAAATTAAGACCTATATTAAACATGTGAAATGGGGGGGAATGGCGGGGGGCTTGCCGTTAGGAAGTACTTTTGTTGCATACCCAGATATGGTGCTGCCTGTGTTGACTTCGGCGTTGGTGGGGCACTTTCTGAGGCAGTGATAGCGCCCACCCGTCCGCGGACACGAAGGCGAGGCGACGGCAGCGCTGCTTTCCTGGCCGGCGGGTCCAGTGGAGAACCCGAAGCCGCCCGTCTTTTCCACCCATCGCCCATCCCGTCCCTATCCCCACGCATCTCCAAATGTGCCGGCAGCTCCAAACACTGCAGCGCCATGGGCATCGGCGCTCACTCTGCGGGACTCAGCCGTCACCTTGCCTCCCTGTCCACAGATGGGT